TTATTTCTAACTTACTCAGAACGCTGCTCTGTCACTTTCTGACCCGCCCCACCCAACCTGCGGGTTGCTTGTCAACACACGCATCACTATTGGCAGGTGTATAAGTAAACAAACAAACAACAACAACCACAAAGATCATTATTCAGTCTCATATTACATTTATGGGAAGTTATTACAGTTTAGATTTTCACCTTCCCACATATGTAATAATTTCCTGCAAATGTAATAGTTATTACATTTGCAGAAAATTGTGTGTTACGTTTGTAGTAGGCAGCTGCTATTACATTTATGGGAAATTTATTACATTTGCGGGATTATAACATTAAAAGCTGCAGATTTGCATTACGTTTGTGGTTTATTACGTTTGTGGGCTGTTATTACGTTTGCGGGTGTAACAGGATTCATCCTCTGATGACCATGAATGCCTAGACAAAATTTCACATTAATCCGTCCAGTACTTGTTAAGATATTTCAGTCTGAACCAGGTTTGTGGACTATCCAGCCAACATTGCTAGCATGTCTTAAAATTAGAGCTGACGCTGATGTACATGTCATTCTGTAGAACGTAAAACCTTTTTTCAGCAATGATGCATGACATTATTGTGCAGAATATGTGAAGCTATTTGAAAGGGGCTCTGAAGGCCTACTAATATTTTTTTTAAAGTTAAACTCTTCACTCCATCCCCATTCTCAAGAAAAGAACTCAACTCTGTACACCTTTACAGGGTTCCTTTATCCTGTACCTGGTTGATTTCAAACACCTCAAGATTAATGACTGGTACATTTACCCTGACTGGGCATACGCCTTGGGATGGACCATGACACTCTCCTCTGTTCTCATGGTGCCACTGTGGGCAGCTGGGCAGATGTGTTTAACAGCAGGAACCTTCAGACAGGTCAGTGTGCAAAGAAGACATTTCTGCAACTCTGGATGCCTCAAAAACATGATGCTCTTTGTTTTTTCTTTTAGCTGATGACTCATCTGCTCATCCAAATCCTTTGGTGTGTCCTATACTTACAGCTCTGGGAGCCAAAAAGTACATGAGTGTCATAGCTAATTATCAAAGTAGTGTTGTCAACTCATTTTGTCTGTTCCTTTGTTCCAGCGTTTGTCTGTCCTGTGTCGCCCTGCTGAAGATCCAGCCTGGCAGAGGAGAAAAATGGAAGAGGAGGGAACAATTGTTGAACTGAGGACGCCTGCGACAACTTAGTGTGACCTGCAACGTCAAATCTTGATAGTTTAATCCATTATTTGGACATTTATAAAATGAGTTAAACAGTGTTTTGTTGCATTTCATTGGTCTTTTTTCAGAAATAGTATCATTTCAACCTCTTATCAATAGCATCCCTGAATCTTTACTCTCACTCTTGTAATATCTATATGTATCTATATATAAAAAGTATATCATAGCTGAGTATTAATAGTTCTGTTTTTAGCTGCACAGAACTTATATTAAGGTGAAGAATGCAATAAATATAAGCTACTGGAATGTTTTTTGTCATCAGGTTGAATAATTAAAAATAAACTACTAACTAACTAACTAATATACTACTACTAAATAAACACTCTAACCTGGTTTTTGCCAATGCTACATGTCTTGTTAAATGTAAGGGGAGACTTTGGTGAATTGCTTTGTAGATCAATATATTTGCTATGCACATATGACATAGGACAGAAAAAAAAACTTTCCCTCTTCTGATCCTTGGTTGTTAACTCCCAGGGACAACTTATAATATTCACATTTGTGTATTAGTTTTTACAATAAGTATAAGAATTTTGACAAAAACAAAAATGCCATTAATGTCTTCCTGTTATTTTATTATTGTACATATTGATATTAAAATAGGTCTGGATATGAACCATGAGAGGAAATCAACTGACTTGGACAATTAAAGGTATACTATGCAGGATTGTCGGTTACTCTTTGTAAACATGCTCATTATGGAAAGTGAAAGTAAAAACCAACCCAAGATTCACTCCCATTTGGTGTTTTGCCTTGTTATATTTGTGCTTTGTTAGCACTGTGTCTCTTTGATGTCTGCTGCTTATAGTCTGGCCCCTGGTCACTATCTTTATTAAAAACTCCAAACTCACCTGAACGCAGTACAGTACATGCTCATAAATCCCCCAAACACAGAAAATAAGAAGAAAATCAGAAAATCCAGGTGAAGGGCAGAGTCACTGCAGAAAAATACATCACCACACACTTCCAGTGGGTCATAAGTGGATTACTTCTGTATGAGTCTATACATTAGTATATCTTTAGTAAATGACTTTATCACAAACATAATAGCAGTTAAATATTTTAAGATCTATCACCTCACAGAGATGGACCAACGTCAAGGCGAGCTCAATTATCCCATGAAAAATTTAAATAGTGACAGGTAGTAGGCCTTTATTGCTACATCACAATTCATAATAAGCATAAATTAATACAAATAGTTGACAAAACACACAAGATAAAAATATCAAAGTTTAAAAAGCCAGTGCTGCAGTCCATATAAGCGCTTCAGGCTAGGCTGGAAAGGGCACTTCTAGGCGCACAGATGGTAAGTGAACACTGATATGGCTACAAATGTTATTTTCAGAAAGAACACACTGTATATTAAAATCTGTCAGCCATCTCATGAATTATGACACTCTTGGGTAGGTGTATTAGCAAATCCTGACCTTTTTATTCTTACCAACTCAGGCAACCAAAGGAACTGCATGTGTGTGAAAAGATAGTGCAGGTTACAAAAATATGTTACAAGTGCAAGTTGTGCGATTGAGCTTCCTACTCTCAGTTCCCAGTAAACATAGTAAGTAAACACAGACAGCCCAGACAAATGTCTGGGTGTAAAGACAAAATACTGTGTGTTTATGAAAAGACATCTGCTATAGGTCAGAACTGAGGATGTTTCTAACACATGCCACCTGCACAAGTACTGGCTGCTAAACGTCTTTTCTCTGTCTCCTGGTTGACCAGCTCAGAAGTCCATTTGCAAATGTTTGACTAAACATTGCAATAAATACTCTAAACTCTCAAAGACAAGCTTGCTCTTGTGAATTCAAGGTTTATATAACGAGAAACATTTCCAAAAAAAGCAAGATCGGTGGGTTAGCAAGGTATGTTGAGTCTAAAGCCAGTTTTCCATTTCATGAAATTGGCCCTCTTTTAACCTGGCTAAATCACCATGGTAATTTATGCTGGTCAGGACCCATTTTAGTTCTGAGTTTCAACTTGAAATTGGCTAAAAAGCACTTTTCACAAATCAACACCTTGGAAGTAGTGCCACTCTATAGTAAGTGGTCAACCCCGGCGTGGCCACGTGACTTTACGCCAGCACAGATGAATTCTCACCTGATTGGGTTTGTCTTTGAATTTCACTGCATTCACTCTGGACATGCTGACAGGAAACCTAGAAACTCTTTAGAGACCTTGACTGAACCTCTTATCACTTTAATCTGCGGCAGCTGTAAAGCTATAAAAAATAAGGTCCAGTAGTGCTGCACTTTTCAACAACACAGTGGATTCTGTACTCTAAGGTCCTAAAATGAATCCAGAAGAAAAAGAGAAAATCAGACGAAGGCTGAAGACAGAGGACAGTGGGCCAGCAAAACAGAGTATATTCTGGTTGTTGCAGGAAATGTGGTCGGCCTGGGCAATGTGTGGAGATTTCCTTACCTCTGTTACAAGAATGGTAGAGGTGAATTGTACAGACTGCCAATGGATTTGTTCATCTATTTATTTTTATTTTTGTATTATTTAATTCATCATTTCCATGAGTATACATGTCTATGTGTCTACCATAGGTGCCTTTCTGGTGCCATATGCATAGCTGTGGTGTGTGGGATACCTTTGTTCCTACTAAAGACAATGCAATCAGTCAGTACACCCAGGAAGGATTCATCACCTGCTGGGGGAAACTGTGTCTACTTGCACAAGGTGAGTTGAAGTAACCTATGATGAATACACACAGAGACATGTATGCTCATTGAAATAAAGTAATTTGAGAACAGGGTGTGAACAACTCAAAAAAGCAGCACTTGTTCTGTCGACACAGCACGGCAGATTCCTTAGACTGGATGTTTGTCAATTTGTCTTTGCCATGGGTGCACATACATTTCATACTCCTATAGGTGCCTTTCTGGTGCCATATGGTCTGTTAGCTGTGGTGTGCGGGATACCTCGGTTCCACAAAGACTTAGCAGAAGATTAACTTTCTTAGATTAACATCTGTCAAATTAACTGCTTTATTTCAGCGATCACATAAATACAGTATACTATATATTTAATTGCCAATGCTCAAAATAGCGCTTAAGCAATAAGAAAAAACTTAAAAGCAATTTTAATAATAACGCAGTAAAGATCAGTTTGCATAGAAGGATTGGTGACTGTTTGAATAGACCCCTCTGGCTCTTGCAAAACAGCAACGAAAATGGAACTGTTGTTTAAGAAGTTATATCTGGGTTCATGGGAGGAGATAGTAAAATTAGGACAAGAGACCTGATAAAAGAAGCAAAGATCAGTTGGAAACACACAACTGATGAAGTCCTTGATGCTGAGATGAAGAAAGAAAGAAGAAACAGAGGAAATCAGAAGAGGGCTGAAGACAGAGGACAGTGGGCCAGTAAAACAGAGTATATTCTGGTTGTTGCAGGAAATGTGGTCGGCCTGGGCAACGTGTGGAGATTCCCTTACCTCTGTTACAAGAATGGTGGAGGTGGATGATACAAACAGCCAATGGATTTGTTCAGCTATTCATTTTTGTAATGAGAGATCACTGAGCTTATTGTGTAATTTGTCAATTCCATGAGTATACATGTCTATGTGTCTACCATAGGTGCCTTTCTGGTGCCATATGGTCTGTTAGCTGTGGTGTGTGGGATACCTCTGTTCCTACTGGAGACTGCAATCGGTCAGTACACCCAGGAAGGATTCATCACCTGCTGGAGTAAATTGTGTCCACTGGCACAAGGTGAGTTGAAGTAAAATGTAAAATCTATAGGCCTGCATCACACAATGCTGTCAAGATGATTATTAGGCAATGTAATTCCAAAAATGATTCAAGCCCTTCCAACAAGCTAAATTCAAATGATCTCGACATTTTTAAACCATGGTGTTTATTCTGTTATTTCAGGAATTGGATATGGATTTTTCATGATGAAACTTTACGACTTTTGCTACATTTTAGTCCAAGTCTGGGCTCTTTTCTACCTGGCATTCTCATTTAGAGCCCAGCTCCCCTGGGCCACCTGTGAGAACACCTGGAATACAGGTAGGATTTACTCAAAATGAACCATGAAAGCAAGATGTTTTCCATGCAGCATCTTCAGCGTTAATCTGTACTAGAGTGTGGTTTCAGTTGTGGCAACTATTAATAATAGTTACACTATCAAGCCACTGTTGGTATACGCTATTATTTTAAATGGTAGTCGTCCTTCTTTCATTTACCATCATGAAATCTTTGTTTGTTCCTAAACTAGCGAACTGCCTTGGTCTTGACACTTTTAATTCATCTTATGTGACTGCAAATCAGACCAACACCACCTCTGCTGCAACTGAGTTCTGGGAGTAAGTCTAATTAAATGTAACTGTGTCACGAAACTACATAAAGATTCAGATCAGAATGTCAGTATCATAAATGTACCCATGACAACATTGTTGGGTGTTTGCTCTACATTACTGCAGACTATCATGCACTTTGGAAATGTAGAAATGTCATAATGTAATATTTAGATATTATAAGTACAAACACAGGCTATTCAATACTTTTTCCCTCTCATGCAGGCACAGAACATACTTGCATGTTATCACCAGCTGTTGTAGTGTTCATGTGCTTTTATTTTGGCATTTTTGCCTTGATAAGACAGTTGATGCTACAGAGGCAGAATGGAAACCAAGAAAACGTTACTGGCTGGGATTGGATGCCTAATATTCACAGCGTTTTGATGCCAAATTTGAAAACTGCACATTCATTATGAAGTTTTCTCTTTTTACTAAAACTATGAAATTGTTTGTTAACATTCGCCAATTTGTCCTTCCTCTCAGACGGCGGATGCTAGGCATGTCTGGAGGCATTGAGGAGCTGGGCAGTGTGAGATGGGAGCTGGCTTTGTGTCTACTGGCCAGCTGGGTGCTGTGCTACTTTAGTATTTGGAAAGGTGTCAAATCATCTGGAAAGGTCTGTGGAAATATTTTATCTGCTTTATTTTGCACAACAAGAACTACTGCTTTTTCACTAAGAACTTTACACTACATTAGTCATCAAGTATTACAGTGTTTACATTGATGTAAGCGCCATAAAAAAACATATTTAAAATTCCATTTTCTTTTTAGGTAGCATATTTTACAGCTACGTTCCCCTAT